TGTTTACTGGAGAAAGTAGGAGGGAAGTGTTCTGGGCACCGAGACAGCCTGGGCAAACCCTGTGGCAGGCAGGAGGCAGTGTGGCCCATCCAGGGAAACTGGAGCAACAGGAAGCCTGAGAGACTGTCTGCGGTTAGACCATATGGGGCTTTGTTGGCCACATTAAAGAATTGGGACTTGATCCTAATGGTGATGTTTTCCCAGCATAGGGGCAAGATTAGATCTGGGTTTCAAACAACTCAATCTAACTGCTGTGTGGAGAATGGGTTTTAAGAGTGTCTATAGCAGATGTACTGAGACCCTTTGGTAGCCTATTCCAGCTATGGACAAAGGGGAGAATGTATTTGTTTATGTACTCTTTCCTTTGTTAATGCGTGCTTTAAGTTAGTCTCCAAATGATATATGAGGAACAAATCAGATATGTTATCTTGTATATCATTAATAGCATAACATTACTATGCTATCCATGGGTCTAATCTAAATCACAAATCTGCTTTCGTATTTAACTGCCCAGCTCTTTATTCATTCATCCATCTGCCCTTTAGTCCATCTGTCAATTTAAAATTTATTCAGCACCTAGTATAGATAAAGCACTGTTGTAGACATTGAAGATAGTAAGACGAATACAACATAAGCCCTACTCTATGTTTTATTAATAGTCCAATTTGTGAGACAGATAGGAACACAATTTTAACACATTTGGATAAAGGCTAATGAATATATTTACATAAAGAAACAAATTATTAACTGGCATACAGTGATTCATCTTATAGACTTTCCTTACCAATATAAAACAATAAGGAGTGAAATTCTTCTATTTTAGAAAACAAATATAGTAGAGATTGGTCATGTGGCCATTTGTTTTCAACAGGCTACCTGTAGGCATTGGTGGGAGGAGGGGGTGAAAAAATATAAATGCAATAAAAAGTAAACATTTGCATATTTTAACAGATAATTTATAACCAGTCAACTCTGGCTGTTTTTATCATACAGTTTTAATTTTTGTTAAGTTTTTTTTTCTGCATCAAACAATAATACAGTATTATGTGCCTTTCAACATTTTTTGTTACTAGACTGGAAGTCAAAATATTGAGCTGTCAAGTTCAGGAATTAATGGTTGACACTAGAGAGGTATCATCAAAATGAACTAGACCAGAGTATGTGGATAAAGAATCATGATCACCTGTTCTCTGGTCTTCCCAACTTCATAATGAACAAAGCTGGTGCTCTCATGTTCTTCTTTAATTCATCCCTGCTCAGAAGAGGAGGATTTTCAATGGGTCATTGTAACCTCGATATAACAACTAACCTGGTGATAGCTGTTTTTCTACTCCTCTCATTTTCTTCTTTCCTTTGTCTCCTTGTGTAATTGTCTTTTGTGGAAGAATTAGTGCGTTATGGCTTGAATCTGTCCCGCAGAGAGCATATGTTGGAAACTTAATCCCCGATGCAACAGTTGGAGGTGGAGCCTAATGAGGTCTCACCTCATTAGGTGATTAGGCCATGAGGGTGGAATGAATTGATTAGACATCAGAACTCCAGGTTCTTTGGCCTTTGGACTCTGAGACTCACATCAGTGACCTCCTGGGACTCGCAAGCTTTCAGCCTTGGACTGAGAGTTACACTTTTGGTTTTGTTGGTTCTTGACCTTCCGACTTGAACTAAGCCATGCTACCTGCTTCTCTGGTTCTCCAGCTTACAGATGGTCTACTGTGGGACTTCTTAGTCTCCATAATTATGACAGCCAATTCCCCTAATAAATCCCCTCTCATCTGTCTATCCATCCATCCATCCATCCTATTGGTTGTCCCTCTGGAGAACTCTAACATAGTGGTATGCTATTATTTGGAATAAACAGAATGCATGGCAGATATCTTCTGGAACTACCTGGATCCCCCTGTTTAAGGTAAAAGTCCCAACATAATCCATGCAGCTGAGTTATTTAGTCATCAAGCACTGAGTATAGTAAAAGTGCCTTCTAGGGAGCTTTTTGTGGCTTCTATATCATCACTGACAATAATGACTTAGGTAACTGCTAAAAGAAATGGTCACTCCATTTTAAGGAGGGTACCTTTATGTATAATTTAAGTTAGTCTTGGGTTTATGAGCAGAATATAAATTATTAATTTAGAATAGAAAAATTTTTATAGTTATTTGCAGCATGCTTTTACTACCATCAACAAGCCAGGAACCATTCTTCCTTACTTATTCCTATCTCTCTCGTGCCTACTTTGGAGACATAAGCAGCATTTATCAGTTTCGGTATTGTGGTATTCCCTTATATTATTTAAATCCAGATTATTCCCTGAAAAGAGGAGATCAAAAAGCTACAGCTTGTTTGGATTTAGGCTGTAAACTACTTGGCAATATGAGAGGTTATAATTTTGAATTTATATATTTGCAAACTCAGTAAATGTGATAGCTAACTTTTTATAATAATAGCTAAGAGTTGCTGATTATTTAACAAATTTCTAGACAATGCAATGTCTTTTACATACATTACATCATTTAATTCTCTCAACAAAACACCATACTGTAAATATTTAATAACATAATTATAACCATTTTATAGAATAGGAAACCTAATGTCAGGTAGATTAAATAAATTGCCTACCATTACACAGCTAGTAAACAGCAGGATTCAAGCAGAAGAGTATTTTTAGCCTCAAAGTTGTGCATTCTAAACTACTCAGCCATTTTCTGGTATATATTTTATACTGCCCAGATTCATTACTGCATTAATTTGCTGTATTATTTTAAAATATTATGATAGTCTTTCATTTAACAGACAATTACTAAGTGTCAATTATGTGCTGCTTTGGAGGAAAAATAAATCAAATCTTGTACATCCCTCATGGAGTTACATCAAATGGGAAAAGGTATCCAGATGAGCACATTGTAATTTCAAAAGCCAGTAGTTTTGAAGTAGTACCACACAAACAGTAGAAGATGCCTCTGGCTGTTGATACATGTGGACATCAGTGTTGCTCAAAATATGGGAGATATGCCCTCTTTCGTCTGTGAGGCAGTATGGTAGTTAACGTGGACTCTGAAATGAGCTGCCCGGACACACATCCTAGCCCTGCCGACTGGGGCTGTATGGTCTTGGGAAAGTCACACGCTGCAGTTTCTCCAAATGTAAAATAGGAATAATTGCAGTACCTGCCTCATAGGGGGTTTTGCGAGGATTAAATGTACGAACAGCTCCTAGCGTGTGATAAGCTTTAGCCATTATTGATGTTAATGTTGAAATCTTCTCATTTTCTAGCTAGTATTTATGAGGTTTGATTTTTCTTCCCTAAATCACATGTATCACTTGTCTGTTACTGAATTTTATTTACCCTGCTTATGTATTTTTTGGGGAGTGAAGGCTGTTTGTTTTCTGATATTTGGCCATTTTAATCCTTTCCTAGAGAATCTCATTTCATTACAATTTCGTATTCAGTTTAATAGATTCAGTCCTCTTCAGTATGTGCTGCCTGGTTATCGCCCTTCTTGCCAGACTAATGGATAGTTAGTTGCTAGTCTGAAAAGAAAGCTTTTGGAAGAAGGAATAAAGCCAGAGAGTTGGTTACAAGAGGACATAAACTTTCTGGGCATATCTGCTTAACTCTTTCCTTATACTGGGTCATGCTAAAGCACTTTTACTTGTCTGTTCCACATCCAGGTAATAGAGTTGATACTCACAAAGGAAATGTGTGTCTCTTCCATTTTCAACTTGCTCTGGGAAATGTTAAATAAAATGGGGTCCAGGAAATATATCAATATAACTTAATAGGATAATAAAAATTGACTTGGACCATGATGAATGGATTTTTTTTTTTTTTTTTTTTTTTTTTTGAGACAGAGTCTCACTCTTTTGCCCGGGCTAGAGTGAGTGCCATGGCATCAGCCTAGCTCACAGCAACCTCACACTCCTGGGCTCAAGTGATCCTTCTGCCTCAGCCTCCCGAGTAGCTGGGACTACAGGCATGCGCCACCATGCCCGGCTAATTTTTTCTATGTATTTTTAGTTGGCCGATTAATTTCTTTCTAATTTTTAGTAGAGGCAGGGTCTCGCTCTTGCTCAGGCTGGTCTCAAACTCCTGAGGTCAAACAATCCGCCCGCCTTGGCCTCCCAGAGTGCTAGGATTACAGGCGTGAGCCACCGCGCCCAGCCTATGATGAATGGATTTAGAATAGCAGCTAGCTCTTCTTTATTTTTAACAATGGTATTGAGATTTGTGGTTTTCATACCTGGCTGAACATCAGAATCACCTGGCATGCTTGTTAAATACAGACCAGTCCTTGCTCTCCATCTCTCCCACCCTCTCTCCCTGTCTATCTCACCTCCGTTTCCAGTGATCTGATCCATTAAGTCTAGAGCAGGGTCTGGGGGTCTGTATTTTTAAGCACTGGGAATCACTGGCCAGGATTATTTATGCATGTATTCATGAGACATGAACTTGGTAATAGTAATAAGACTCTCCTTTTTTTTCCAAATTGACATTGAAAAGTCCCTTATTTGAAAACAAGATTCAATTTCACTTAAATAGCCTGTTTTCCTGAGTTCTGATGGAGAGAGGCTAGAGAAAAGAGTTGAAAATAGCAATCAATATTAGCTCGTTAGATTCACAGAATCAGAACTTTCAAGCTGAAGGCCAGTTTAAAGATAAAGTCATATTTCTTTACTTTGCATTTATAGAAGCAAGTCTTTCTGTGTAATGAGAGATTATGATGAGAATACTAAGGTCCACAAATACCGTGACTACCCAAAGTAATACAGTTAACTGGGAAATATTCTTGGTTCCCAGCACGCTTTATAGATTCTTTATCTATCCAATAATCACCCAAATAGATTGTCTCTCTCATTTTATGGCATTTAGGCTAACCAAACCAAGTGTGTCTGTTTTTAAAAAACACAGCATAGTAACTATATACAGCATCCTTCTTATCAAATACCTCTTAGGACCACAGTTTGAGAATTAAATGGAATCTTACCTTTAAGAGGCACCTTGACATCAAGGCCATAGAATAAAGGCAAGAGAGAAGAACAAGAATAGAAACAGAAACTGCAGAAGAAAAAGAAGAAGATTATGTAAATCTGAATTTCTGTAGTACCATTCAGGTAGTACAAAACCTCAGCTTTTCCACATTGCTCAAGTATGACCACTTCTCATATACCTCAATTACCTTTTTGTTTAAAAAAATCCATACCTTTCATGTATCTACTGACAGCAATGCCAGTGTTCAGCTAACACTGATTCATACACTTTAGAATTATGAGGGGGTCTTGGAGATAATTGGTCTAAGCTCCTAATTTTGTGATGAGAAAAATAAGCACAGAGCAGTAAATCAATAGTTTATATTCACACAATGTCATGGCACAGAGAGGGCTAGAGCTTAGATATCCTGAGTCTTACTTCATTATGTATCCTTGGCTCTGTCTTTCATATACAGGAGGGTGTTTCAAAAACACAAAAGATAATCAGAACATACACTTAATCACATAATGCTATCGCTATTTGGTTTATGTGGTAGGTTTTAGGACCAAGGTGCAGCAGGGAGAATATTAATATGTAAGGTAAACATATAATTAATTATCCACAGTGGAGCACTTCTGAGAAGGCAATGGACACCCTTAATAATTACGCTGAGGCAAGAGGTATAAACGGGGTCTGTCCTGGGCAAGTGAGGACGGGTGGCCATGCTATTGGTATGAAACATGCTTCTGCATCAGTGGGTGTTTCAGATACTGAATGTACCGTTTTGCTCTAGCTGTCATGCCTCTCGGATAGACTTTTCTTTATTTGACTCACAGAAGTTAAATGAAGTCTGATTTGTCTGTCTTTACCAAGGAACTTCACTAGAGAAGCAGATAATTGAATGGACAAACTCATGCTTGTGTAGCACTGGTATATAACTAACTGTATGTGAATTATAAAACATAACAGGTCAGGTCAGTTTTTAAAAGGTAACTGATTTCCTTGGTGGTTCACCTTTGCAGAATCAGGAAGTCTTTTGCTTGACTATTACAATCCAGGAACATGCTGTTGGACACATTTTTGGATAAGGGCTGTGGCATTGCCATATTGCGCATGTTATTTGCATATTTCCTTTAATGCCACTGTGTATAAGGTTCTTGCTTCACTATTGCTAAATTCTACAAATGAGTTATAAATATGGTGCTAGGAGCCATGTATTGGTTTATTATTCTGAAAAGCAGAAACTCTGTCCTTTTTTTTTTTTTCCATTCCTCCAAGATATAACCGTAGCAGGAGAAGCTCGAGGAGAGGAATGGAAGGCTTCCCATTCTTCCTATGAGACTGTAAGACATCAAAGCTACCTCTCTGGGCATGGGGAGATGCCCATCACTTAGTCTGTGATGAGATTCTTAGTCCCTGCAGTGTAGGAGACAGACCATGGCACTTGGAGTCAGACACCCTGACCTCTCTAGTCTTGATTTGCCATAGATTGGTTACCTAATCTTAGGCAAGTTATTTAATTTCCTTGAGCCATTGTTTTATTATCCGCATAAAAGAGGATCATAACATCTGCTGTGTCTGTGTCATAGAATAATTGAGAATCAAATGAGATAATGGCAGTAGAAGTGCTTTGGATAAGGTAACGTGCTGCATACAGTTGAAGCAATTTTGCATTTGTTGTTATCCCCTGATTTGTATTAATTGTGAGCATGGAAATGAGCAACAAGGAAGGGATATTGCAGGTACCCTGACTGGGTGTTCAAGTACCCCAAGGGAAACAATGAAGAGTATCTCTGACATAAGGGATCTTTAGCCTTTTTAACCTGGCTTGAGGGCAAATTGAACTGAAGTCAAGTGAATAGAAGGTGAGTTGTAAACCTCACCTCTCAGACAAATCTCTAATCTGAAATCAACTGAATTGTTTTAATTTGCTATCATCTGTGAAATATGCAGCTTTGATAACTAAAGAGTCCTTGATTTCTGTTCTGTATATTATCCCTTTATCATAAATGTTTAGGAAATTCAGACCTGTAAAGTGCATTGGGCAAAAGAATTATAAAAAAGTTCACACTGAATTCTGACAGTGAACATAATCATAATTTCCCTTCTCCCAACATTTCCATGGGATTTATTTAGAGAATAATCTAGGGTGGTGACATTAATAGATACATAAAAAAAAAAACCTCCCTCTTTTATTTGTGTTTTTAAACCTCAGCTGAATGGGGACTGAATGGTATCATGAAGTTGTGGGGGCAGAATTGCCTTAACCTTGACTTTTCCTTGAGCCAGCCCTAGGACAATTTATGAATTAGCAGAGAGAATGGCTAAGATTTGGCCATTCAAAGGTGTGGACAGTGGAAGACTTCCATCATGGGCTCTGACAACCAGGGAGGCTGGGAGCAATCCCTGCCTTCTGTGGGTCTTCCTGACAAAACTGGGAAATTAGACTCAGTCCTTGGTTTATGGCACTTTACCTTTGCCTTGTTTGATCCTGCAGAACCAAATAGCCCATTTCTGAAATGAGGGAAATTCAAATTTAAAATTTTGTAGAAGATGTGTACTTGAGGGGTGGAAATTTGAAAAATTATACTTTTTTTTTTTTTTTTTTTGAGACAGAGTCTCACTCTGTTGCCCAGGCTAGAGTGCCGTGGCATCAGCGTAGCTCACAGCAACCTCAAACTCCTGGGCTCAAGCAATCCTTCTGCCTCAGCCTCCCGAGTAGCTGGGACTACAGGCATGCGCCACCATGCCCGGCTAATTTTTTCTATATATTTTTAGTTGTCCGATTAATTTCTTTCTATTTTTAGTAGAGACGGGGTCTTGCTCTTGCTCAGGCTGGTTTCGAACTCCTGAGCTCAAACAATCTGCCTGCCTTGGCCTCCCAGAGTGCTGGGATTACAGGCGTGAGCCACTGCGCCCGGCCTGAAAAATTATACTTTTAATTTGACTTACACTTTCTTAGTTTTTCTAATTTTCATATAAGTGACTTCATTTGTTCCTCATGGAACCCATGAGAAGAGGTAAGGGCAAGTATTATCATCTCTGTTTTATAGACATGGCTTAGACATAGGAGGTACAGTCACTTACCCAAGGTCAAATGAGTCCCTGAAGACCCACCTGTATAGGAATCTGGGTGAATCTGGGTGCCTGGTGGTCTGGCTACTAGACCCCACCAACTCTTTGACCTCACATATTTGGGTAACTATAGAAGCAATTTGAAATGAATCAAATTCTAACTATTGTCTCAGGAATGGCAGATGGTTTGCTATTTTCTTCTCTGCAACAAAACACCCCTCTCCTTTCTCAATACTGGGATTTGGGTAGCTCTTTCCAGTCGATCAGATTGGAATGCCAGACAGAACCTCCTTGCCATCCTTGCTGTGTTCTGGGCAGGGACAGTCTGGCTCACTGCTGCCTGCTTGGCCTCCTGGCCAGTGCCCTGCCCCTTCTTCCACCACACACACATTTCCCAGTGCCCTCTAAGAACTGCTGTGTTTTATCCCCCAAAACACTGGCTGACTTGGAAGAAGCAGTTACTCCTTCAGACCACTAGGCAAGTGAGAGGAGGATCTAATTATCATGGGTCAAACTAAGTTTCTGAACTTATTGTTGAGGTGAAACTACACAAAGATGAAAGGTCTTTTTCATGAATAATAATGGGAAAGATTTTAAAAAGGTGCTAAAAAGATTTTTAAAAAAAGAGCAAAGTAGAATAACAAAACTCAGAAGAAACTTTTGGAAAGGAAATGAAGATGAAGAAAGAAAACACAGAAAAGAATAAAAGATCAACACGAAGGGCAAACATGTCAAGGCTGGGTTACTGATGCCAGAACCTTTCCAGGAATTCTGGTGCCTGACTGAAGGTGAAGGCTATGTTTACAGCAGCTACACCTGCCTCTGCAAAATACACAATAACTGAGCAGACAGAAAGCAAATGCAGTGAGCAAAATCAATATGACTTTAAGATTGAGCAAATAGAGAATAAAATAAATATTGAACTCAACACATACCTTTTCTTCTAAATCCTTTATCTGTCTTTTCTGGATGTCTGTTTTATCTTCTAAGTCACGGATTCTCTGAAGAAAGACCAAAAAAAAAAAAAAAAAGCATTAGTGGGTGTTAAGTAGTACAGAAAAATCGTTCACCAAACTAAAACGCAAAACTTACTATAAAAATAAGAACATTTGTACTAGCAGATGGAAACATTACATGTACATTTTTCCCTACCTAAAAGGGGACTGCATGTTTCAAAAATTATCCATTCTTATGGTGGAAAATCATTGTTATTGATTATATTTTCAAAAAATACTTGCCACCTATCTGTACTGGGCCTATCCCTGCCAATGCCTACCCAGTGAGAGAGGTACAGATCCCACTGCACTGACATTGGGTGACATCGGGCTTGGCCACGAGACTTGTTTTGGCCAGTGGAATGTGAGTTGGAGTGAGACGTGGGACTATTACATCCTTGTAGAGAGAGCAGTATGTCCCAGAGCTAGGGAGCAAGAAACAAGCTTTATTGTAAACCATTTGGATTGAGATTTTTGGTTGTTTATTACGACATTAAAAATGGCTAAGGCTGATTCACACAAATGTAAACAACACCATTGTTCTTTGCTAACCTTTTTTTTTTCAACCTTGTGTCAACTGTTTCAGGGTAGTATAGTCTCACAAAACAGGATTGGCCAATTCTCATAAAACAAAATAGAGATTATGCTTCAACAAAAATGCCCAGGAGGGAACTATAAATTAGGGAAAAAAAACCCAGAACATAACAAACATAGCACAAGTAATCCGAAAGACAGAAAAACTCCAGGACTGTCTCTGAACTTACCTGTCAACTATATAACAAAATTCCACTAATTTAAACAGAACAAATTTGAAATCGACATTAGATAGATAATTATTTACAAGTAAAAATTTCACATTATCATCTGGCAATCGAAAGGCTTTTGTGTTCCTGCACATAGATATACCGCACAGGCTTGTTATTTAATGCCTCTGTTGGGAATAATTAGAAAATAGAAAACTGGGGGAGTCTAAGAAGAAAACACTAGAAGCCAAATGGGGCGATAATTTAGAAAGAGAGGTTTTTATAATGCGACGTGGGGAGAAAAAAGGGAAGCTAGCTAGAACAAAGGATACTGGAACTTGGAAATCACATCTCCTTCTTTCTGAAACAGTGGATCTCAACTGGGGGTGATTTTGCCTGCCGCCCCCATCCCTCCAGGGACATTTGGCAATTTCTGGATATTTTAAAGAGTTAGCTAATACATTTGTTTATTTCAAATTGTATAATTCAGTGGTTTTTAGTATATTCACAAAGTTGTGCAACCACTGCTACTATCTAACTGCCTGGACATTTTTTTTTTATTGTCACAACTGGGTACTGTGTGTACCCAGTTAGAAGTTAGGGTGTGGGTAGAAGCCTGGGATGCTACCAAACATCCTACAGTACACAGAACAGCACCTCCCCCAGGCCCACACAGTAAAGAATAAAGAATTATTTGGCTGAAAAATGTCAGTACTGCCATGTTTGAGAAATCCTGCTCTAAAGGAAAAGAGCTGAGGTTTGTGCAGGAGGGGATGGTGTGTTTTGGTCAGAGTGAGACCATCAAAGTTGACCTTAAAATTACATGGCAATGGATGCTGGAGAAGGGGATGGTGTGTATATATGTGTGTGTTGTGTGTGCTGGTGTATATTTCCATAGTGCTGCCTATGCTCCAAAGCTACAGTAAAAGCATACATTTGCAAGACATTTCCACCTTGAATGTGCAAGTAATTCCTTGATAGGTCTACTGGTAAGTATCATGCTGACAAAATCATGAGCATGTGAGAGTACTGCAGTATCTATCCAGCCATCAAGTCTGTGCTTGTTGGGCACCTCACTCGTTGCATGTTCAGGACTATGCTGGATATGATGGAGAATACAGATAAGGCATCAATTAGTCCTGATCACAAAGAACTATCAGGTCCAGATGCAATAATAAAATTAAGTAGAAAAGGTAATTGACAGCAAAAACAATTCCTGGTACAGTGATTGGCATGGAGAAGCTGTCCATACATATTTGTTAAATGAAGTTGTTATGCTACATTGTATGCCATATGCTTGATTTCCTTTTCCTTCCCATCCATTTACCATCCAGTCTAACAGGAAACCTTGTCAAGGTCCAAAATAGATCCTTTTTCTACCTACTTCTTTTGATCTCTAGTGTGACCAGGTACACCAAGTCATTGTCATCCCTCATCAGGACTGGCACGATAGCTCACCACTGGCTCTTCCTGCCTCATATCTTGACCATCCTACATCCACCTACAGCAGCCAGTGTGAACTCTCTAAATATGAAAATGCTCACCACTGACCTCGAGTTTAAGGGGGTGGGAAGGGGACAGAGGAAGCATGGCCGAGTTATACTCAGAATAAAACCCAAACTCCAGTAAGGCCTTACATGGTCTGGCCCTTTCTTAGTTCTCTGACCTCACCTCCTGTCAACCCCATCCTGGCTCTGTGTGCTCCCACCATACTAGACTTTTCTCTGTTCCTCGAATATTCCAAACTTATTCCCACCACAGGGACTTAGCCCTTGCTGCCACTGTGTTTTGGGACACTTTGCCAAGATCTTTGTGTGGCTTGTTCCTTGGGTCTTAGACATCTTCAGAGAGACCTTCTCTGACCAGCCAGTCTAAAGTGGCCAATCCTACTCCCAAACTCACACACATTGTATAACTTTCTTCATAGCACTTATTGCCACTCTCTGAAATTGTCTTGGTCACTGTTCATGTGTGGCTTTGTCCTTTTCCATCTGTAAGACAGATGACAGTAGTGACCTTTATGTCTTTGTTTGCCATCACATTCCAGTGCCTGGCACACAGTGGCTTCTCAGTGAATGGTTTTGGATGAGTGTATAACAGGGCGTGGAATGTAGATTTTTTCAGCAGTGTGTGGTCCATTTTCTTCATCAGGGAGAGGCTCCTGAAGGAGGTGGATCTTAAACTGGGACTGGACAAATGAGAATGTCTGGATCAATGAAATGGGAACTAAAGAGCATTTTAGGGTGAGCAGTCGCACATACAATGACTTAGAGGTGGGAAATCATGGCCCAAGTGGCACCAGGAAGTTTTGCATGAGTGGAGTGGAAAGTATGCACTGGAGATTGTTTCACATCAAGTTTTTTTGGGAGAGGTAGCCAGCTAATGAGGAGACTTGCACAACGCTTGACTCAACTGGAAATTGAAACCATGGAGGCTTCTGGGCAAGAATGTACCATGAGAAAAGGTGAGAAGAATCTGTGGCGATATGCATGGTAGACCAAGGAGAGGAGAGCTGGAACTAAGACCCCATGGCACCTGCATGTACTTTTTAAAATGCCATTTATTAAGATGTATCATAATTATTCTTTGTATTAATCTCCTTTGTATCCATCTACAGATCTTAAGTTTTGTGAAGGCAGGGTCCATGGTGGATTCTCTATGCCTAGCACGGCATCTAGCATCTAGGAAATGCATTTAAAGATTTGGCTGAATAAGCCTGTCGATGACGGAGTCAGGTTACCTTAGAGGACATCTGGCAGTACCTAGAAGCTGTTGCATTAATGAAAAGTCCTGCACATACATGCCTGGGTGACAAGTGCAAACAAAATGGACCAGCTTCAAAAACATTTCAGGGGAAATGCCAGATGGATGTGTTGGCATTAATTCTTGGAGGTAAAGGACAGAGAAGACTCCAGTGTTTCTAGCCTGAACGATGTGGATATGATAATTCTACTGACCAAGACAGGCAGATGGGGTGAGAGGAGAGAAGGAGAAGAATGCATGTTTGAGCTCACTCTGAAATATTCAAGCAGAAATGTCTAATAAATGCTCAGTGATATGCTCTAGAAGTTAGAGTGTATTACATAATTATATATGACAAATCCTGGCCAATGTCTTCTGGAATAATTCTATGAAATTAAGCTACTGATTAAAAGGGAAGGAGAGTAAGAAATAACTGGAAAAGGCATATTCAAATGAACACTTGTTTGGGAGACAGAAAACGTCAATGGAACTCTCTGAGGCTCAGAAATGTAATGTGCCTATCAACTCAAACTGGATAACTTAAAACAAAGAAACAAAACCATCTCTTTCAGGAGTGAAGTACCTTAGCTAACTGGTTTAAAGAGAGGCTCAAAGGGGGTAAGGATTTTATGAAAAATTTAGGTAACTATTAGTCCATCTTAACAACACATGCTTTTGTGGTTCCACGATATAACTCCCGATTTGTTGAAATTAACTAAATGCTATTGCAGCCTAAGAGATTCGTGCAGAGGACACTTTTATCCTGTGCTAGCAGGAAAGAATGCATGAAGTAATGCAATGATGCCATAGAGCCTGTTAATAAAGGCTTTAAAAACTCTTTCCGTGGGTCAAAGCCAAACCTTTGTGATGGAATCCGAAGGGGCATTGATAGAAACATGCTTGTATTTATCATCTCTGGGGACAAATGGCTTCAGAGTTTCCTGCTAACTTGGGTAATCTGTTCGCCTATAAAGGTCCACAGTGCTCCTGGCTGCCTCGGGAGGTGCTAAGTGTCGTGTTCCCTGTGAATTGTTCTTATTGGCGTCATAAAGTAAACGCTGTTCCTTTTCCACTCGTTGATCACTAATGACCACATGTTTCTTACCTCCTATGTATCCAACTGTACCAGTTGCTTCTTATAGCTTCTAGGGACTGAATACTCTAGCCTGACACTTACAATTTGGGGAATTCTTATTGAATCTGCTTTTTGATCAGGGCCCCAGCCCTTTACCTGTCAAGCTATGCCATGAACGAAGAGTTAAAATTAAGAATTTTGGCTGGAAATTAGTGTCGGGTGCCTATTTTGAGCCTTGCCGGTCTGGAGGAATCATACAAGTCATGGCTGACAGTGTAGTGCAGTGGTTAGGCACACCAGCCTCAGAGTCAGGCAGACCTTGCAGTAATCCTGACTCTGTTGCTTACTTTCTGTGTCATCTTGGGCAAATCGCTTACGCACTCTTATCTTCAGTATTGTTATCTCCAAAATTGGGATAATAAGAATACTTACCTCACAGAGCTATTATGGAAATTAAATGAAATGATATGAGTAAGAGCCCTTAGTTGCGTTCCTGACATATAGCAAGTGCCAGTAAGTAAATGGAGCTTCCAGGCTGTGTTGTTGTTGCTGTTTCTTCTGGGAATTTAAAAAAAGGCCCTTTTCTCTTCTGCCCTATTCAGATTATCTGATCAGGCTGGCCAGGTTACGGACTGGAGTGGGCGGTGGGAGGGAAGCCCTGGAGAGGGTCCTGCTTCCCTGCCCAGGGGAGATAATCAGCCTCCTTGAGATTCTAATAGTATTTTCTGACAAAGTTCTAAAAATAGCAGCAGTATGCAATGCTTCTGAAATGCCAATTTTCTCAAGACCAAATCATTACAAAACTGTCATCCTGTATCTGAGTGAAGGTGAGAAACAACAGCTATTTATTTTTGTCTCTGAAAATAACTTCTACCTCCTGGGCTTCTCCATACCCACACTCAGTACCATGTGTGCAGTACTAAGTCCCACTGGCTTAGTACTGACCCTACACAGATGCAGCGACTCAGTCCTCACCTGATGGGCTTGCTGTAAGAGCTCCATTCTCTCCTGAAGAATCTGACAGTCATACTCTCTGCTCTTCCTCAGCATTTGTCGCCGTAACTTTTCTACTGCCGTCCTCAGCTCCTCTTGCTGTTTTTCACTTAATAATTCGCCAAACTTGATAACAGTTTCTTGCTGCAGAGCATTGTACAAAGTAGCTTCTAGTTCCTGGATTCTCTGGCAAATAGAATTAGAAAAGTCTAACTTTGGAACTCGGCATTTATGTGTGGTGTGGGGAAGTACACTATGGATATGTATGTGCATAGATGTATTACTTTAGACTTACAGGATCTTAGCAATTTCAAAGCTTCTCCAGCCTAACTGCTCTTCTGAAAATCCCTGTGTTATGAGATTCCATAAGGGTCATTAGCCAATATGTGAACTTCTCTAGCAAGGGGAAATGTGTTCTCTTTTTTGGGATCCTGTCCATTCCATATACTTTTCATTTTTAGAAAGCCCTTACTTGGCTATAGTAAATGTACCTCCTATTCCCAAATGGAGCTGAGAATAAGTTCGTTCTCTCTTCCACTTGACAAACCTTCAGATATTTAAAGTCATCTATCATGGTGACTGTACTTTTAAAAATAAGTGGTCTAAGTTGGAACAAAATACTTGAAACTGGAGATATATCTCATGCAGAAAATGCCATCTCTCTTCCACGTGACAAACCTCTGTACTTGAAGATGGCTTTATAGTCTCCATATTTTTTATTGAAGTAAAATTGGGAAATAAGATCAAAAGAGGACCTGCAGTCTTGAAATTGGTCTGTTTTTTAGTTCTCTGAGTTCTATAGTTGTTCGAGCTACAGTATTTCTCTTTGGCTCTCCTCTTTTATAGATGAAGGGTCTACTGCCTCATATCTGGTTTTTATTTTTTTCCACAAGCTGCAGATACAGTTGCCAAAATCTACATTCTTATCCCCTGTAACTTTGACAGAAGCAACTAGACATGCTTTGGTGGGGAATATTGTCCTAGACTAGGAAGATCTCATCTTTTTAAAATTAAATAGGTTTTTCTTTTCTTTTCTTTTTTTTTTTTTTTTTTTTGAATGATTACTCAGTAGTCTTGGGCACCACATAAACATACATCTTAACCTTATTTTATGTATATGTAGAAGGCGGCAAAGGTGAAAGGGTAGGAAGGGAGGGAAAAATTACTTTCTTTTCTGTTCTCTGATTAGCACCAACTCGCATTCTCTTCTCGAACGGTGGTCAGAATCTCTTATTCATTTTGGAGGGGGAAGACTAATTCATCTTTGTTACAGCAGGGGCTAAGTGCTTCACTCTTTTCCCAAAAGTGACTCAGGCTGCTTCCAGGAAAGCATTATAAAAACCTCTGCTAGCAACTCCTTGAAATATTCCTCTAGTTTGCTCTTTTTCTTTTGATTCATTACTGTGAATTAATGGGGGGGAGGCTGGGCATCAGGACAGAAGAAATGTGAGCTGTAGTCCAATATTAGGAATTGTGTGGTATGAATTCGATACAGGGAATGGGTCGAATGTGCTCCTCACTCTGCATAATCTTCTGTGGGAGAGAAAAAGGCACAACCCACTTACCCACACAGCCTCCCTCTCTGTGGCTGGATTATGGTAGTTAGGGCCACAGTATGCGGAGTCAGATCTACACACTACCTGTTTCCCAACTTGGGCAAAGTTCTACGCTCTCTAAACCTTACTTTCCTCATATATAAGATACTAATAATAATCTTATGTATACCTCATAGGGTTGTTGTGAGAAATAAATGAATTAAATATATACATAACAAACATTAAACACATTAGCATTCTACCAACTAGATCAGACTCCCCCAAAATTGGATTTAATAAAATTTCTCTTTATACAGAAGGAACAGGAATAGAAAAAAAAAATTTCTCTTTAATCTATACTGCCATCCAATCTTTCCTTCATCTAAGTATTATCTAATGATACATATTTAATTTTAAAAAATGAGTATCATGTAATATTTATTAAATATTATAAGACTATTATAATAGCAAAGAGCTAAGGATATATTTGTTCTAAATTAGAACTGGAAACTAATGAATAAATGACCTAATGTTGTGGTCTATTCAAGTACATGGCATGGCAAACTAAATAGGATACTTTACTCCATAGCATATAATTGTAAACACTCTGGGTGTCTATCACTTGTACCTACCATATAGGCTTGGTCAAGAGCTTGTTTTCTGTAGTCTAGTTCTTCTTCCAGGTAGCCTTTTATTTTGCAGAATTGTTCCTATGATAAATAGAGTCAGCTTAGTTAACTAGAAAATGACATATAAATTGTATTGATTAATGCTTTCTCTAATTCTACCATAAGACAAATCACTAGTATTTGTAGAGTCATAGATTTTGCCTGTTGGGGACGTAGTTAGTCCAACTTTCACAGTCTCTCAGAGGGAATGCGAAAATCAATGGAAATAAGCATAAACGATATAATGAAAAACCCACATGGAATGCTCTGAAAGACTTTTCATGCCAATCTGAGAGTATGTAAGTAAGTATAGATTTTGACAAGTGTTAAATAATAAGTCTATTTGGGTGAAAATATTGTGATAGTATATCTTTGGAAGACTTTTATAAAATGTTATACGTGGCAGCCTTGTACAATAAACAAATTTAACTTGTTCAAATTCATCTGTGTACAATTAGCAAACATAAGGACAAATAACTGTTTAAAAAGTGGAAGTGGAAAAAAAAAGATAAAAAGTGGGAGTGAATCCACCCACAGTGCCACTTAATGAGTGGGCGTCTGCCCTTACCACAAAGCCAGTGTGAGCTGGGAGACATAAAATTGATGTCCCCTCACTGGTTCTCAATTTCTGTGTGCCTCTCATATCATGAGCATCTTTCCATTGGCATTCAAAACCGTATCATTGTGTACAACATAGTCCCAAGTACAAATCAATTGTTTCTTTGGGTGCTTAACTGAAGGAACAAAGGCCTCTTCCAACCCTGGAGAAAAACTCAATTGTGTTGACTTTTGAGAGAATATATGTCTGCATGCAGCAATTTTGTTGTTGACTTTCCTGATGATGCCTGGATTCCAGTGCCTGGAACAGTACCTGGTACAGGCTGATTGTGTAATTAATATTGTGCATTTAAAGAGCTTTCAAGGGTAATATTGAATACAGTACACGTCTCATTATACGGTTTAACTTTAGAGCCTAACCTCTTGGTAAAATGTGAACCCTGTATAAAATACAAGCAAATGACTTATAAGCTGTGACACGCTATATAAATGCACGTTGTTCTTATTATAGGACTCCCTAATAGGAATCCATTGCATGTGTTTTAGTTACCATGATAATATTAATGATAGTCTTGTTATAAAATTCTAATCATTGTTGTAAGTTAATAATAACTGATTCCTAGATATGGGGATTTAATTTTTTTTTTTAAATCATGGTAAAATACACATAACATAAAATTTACAACCTGAACTATTTTTAAGTGTATAGTTCAGTAGTGTGAATTGTATTCATTGTTATGCAACCAATGTCCAGAATTTTTTCATCTTGAAAAACTAAAACTATATCCATTAAACAACAGTTCTATATTTCCTCTTCCTCTCAAGCCCTGGCAACCAGAGTCTACTGTCTGTTTCTGTGAGTTTGACTGCTCTAAGTACCTCACATGAGTGGAATCATATGGTATCTTTTTATGACTAGTTTTTTTAGCTTAACATAATGTTCTCACAGTACATCCATATTGTAGCTAGCTATATCAGAATTTCCTTCCTTTTTAAAGCTGAATAATATTCCATTGTATGTATATGCCACATTTTATTTATCCATTCATTTATCTATGGACATTTGGGTGTTTCCCCCTTTTGGCTGTTGTGAATAATGCCACTATGAACATGGGAGTACAAGTATGTCTTCTAGACCTTGCTTTCAATTCTTTTGGATATACACTCAGAAGTGGTATTGCTGGATCATATGGTAATTCTATTTTGAATTTCTTGAGCAATCGTCGTATTTTTTCATAGCAGCTCTACCATTCTACATTCCCACCAATGGTGCACAAGGGTTTCAATTTCTCCACATCTTTGCCAACACTTGTTATTTTTTGGTTTTTTGACAGGAGCTATCCTAATAGATGGCAGGTGGCTTGGGGATTTTTAAAATCAGAGTTACATCCACCATTTCATTAAGTTTTACCTGATAATTAAATACAGTAGAAAAATTATTTAGCCTAAGAAAGAAAACACAAGAAAACACCTAACTCAATTTTCTTCAGCATTAGTTTTGGAAATTTCCCAAAAATACAACATTTGTTTTTTGAGACTATAACTTGAAATTAGATACTTCTGGGAATTTTGTTCCATGGTCTGAACACAAAATAATAAGGCTACATATTTTCATCAGTGCCAGATAAAACCAGTAGAGGCAACTTTCATTTTCCATTTGGCTTGTAAATTTTTCTTAATTTTTACGATACCTCAACTTTGTACTCACCATGTCACTTTCCAATTCCATCATTTTTTGGTGCAAGGCAGCCTCTGCTCCTTCGATTTGCTGGATCCACTAAAGGGTTAACAAGACAAAAGTGTTTGACATGATTGCTTGATATGACGTATATCTGTGTGCTGTCCACTAAGGTGCTTAGTCTCTTTCCCTTACATATCAGGAAGCATACTGAGAACTGAAGTGAAAACAATGTATTTTTATCGCTTAGTTGAGAAACAAAACTATAGTCTTCTATGCATTCATCCATCCATCCATTCATTCAACAAATGCATTCATGGATGTCTACCAAGTGCTAGGTGGGTACTCAGACTGTAATGGTGAACAAGACCAACAAGACTTCTGCTGTCACTGGAGGGCACCATAGGAGGCTTTCTTGGAAGTGTTAATTGTACTGGAGTCTGAAGAATTGGTGAGAGATGACTAGGAAAAAATGAAAAGGAAGTTCCAAGCAGAAAGGATACCATGTCCGATAGCTCCATGGCTGGAGGGAGCAGGATGAGAGGAAGATGGCCAGGCAGACTGGAGAAATGGTAATTTTTCAGTATGTAAAACTGATTATAGCAAAGCATGGAAGAATTATTTTTTGTTAAGTGGAAACACTTTAAATCACATAAAAAAAACTTATCTTTCCCAATACGCAGAATATATCATTCTGTTATATGATGTTGATGTTAGCATTGATAACACAACCACAAGGCTGTTTTCACACTTTGCAGAATTAACATCAATTCTTTTTGTCATCTGATATCTGGTCCATATGAAAATTTTCCCGGTTGTCAGCAAAATGTCCTTTTTTAAAAAAAGCACCTGGTTTCGCTTAAATTGCAATCCAACAAATATTCATTCCAATATTTCTAAATATCTTTTTATTTTATAGCAATACTTTCATGCTCCCCTACTTTTTTTTATGTCATTATTTTGAGTAACTTAATGGTGTCATTTGACCTGTAACATTCCTTCATTTCAGACTGGAGAAAACTGATTGCTTGCACATGGTTTCATTTAATTTCCAACAAGCATTTTATACATTAGAAATTAAGGAAGCATCTCAATGAATTTATACCTTCCCAGTTTATCCAACCAGGTGCACATGACTCTCAACTCTGCGCCGATTTTTTTTTTTTTTTTTTTTTAAGAGATGTGGTTTTGCTATGTTCTCCAGGCTGGAGTGCAGTGGCTACTCACAGGTGTGATTACAACACACTACAGCTCCGAACTCCTGGGCTCAAGTGATCCTCCCTCCCCAGCCTCCAGAGTAACGAACTACAGGTGCGTGCTACCAGTCCCGGCTTCACGCGCTGATTGCGGAGGTGCCCTCAATACAAGTTATCTGGCTTCTCCACTTGGCTCTTTCCTCTTCTCTCTCTCTTGCCATTTACCAGGTTTAGACACAAGGGGGCAAGAGCACACTCAGTATTGATTTTCTCCTGAAAGTCCTACACTGGGCTTTGTGAATGAGATGGCAATAGAGGAAAAGTCTGTGACAAGAGCAATGCTCCAGTTTACCACCTCTCAACAAAAACTTTCTTTGTTGGTTTCCCTGCTTGGTAGGGATCATTTGAATAATATAATCCAGAAGTTTCCCATTTTTAAAGAATTATATATTTTTAAGGGACTTCAAAGCCAAATTTATCCACCCATCCCCAATCAGTGTATAGACTTTTCTTCTGTGTTTTCTTATTCTATCTGGGTTGTATCACCCTTAAAAATAAAAGGTGTATTATGTATTCAATAACATAAAATCATGTGCCAAAGGAATTTCCTTCACACCCTACCCTGCTCTTTGGGTGGTAAGCCAGACAGAGATGATTGAAATGTCAGTATAAATAATTACCTTCTCTGCCAGGGACAACACGGTGCTGGCCTGAATTATGGCCACTTGTTCTTCATTTCTTAAATTCTGTGAAAAATAAAAAAGAGAGGAAATAAGCTGAAGATACTTATGATATTTACACTAAAAGTACTGCCTAACTGCCTGCCACAGACAACACTGAACATGCCTGTGTGGGACCGTAACAAATCCTGTTCTGTCTAGTAATAATGAACAAAGAGTTAATTCAAAACCTCAAAGAAGTATATTAAATGTGATTTTTTACATCTCTTTACTACTGTTTTGATTTGTGTCATTGTGAGCATACTTCATTAATAGTCACGTTATGAGAAAAACAGAAACCAAAATGAAATAAAGAGCAGTCTCTTCATAGCGGTTTTGATGTGATTTTATTGATTCTGTTCTCTCCTTTGATAATTTTTCAAGGGGAAAAAAACAGTGACTCCTTCAACCTACACACATCATTCATCTAGTATCACAATGAATGGTCCTCCCACTGAATTAATATGCCTTGACCCTGTCTGGAGGTGTTTTTAGAAAGAAAACGGATTAGAGCTTCCTGGTCCATTTTCACGGGGCTGCCAACAACCCTAGTATTTAGCAGCATTTGCAACTGCATGACTGATTAATTTCACACTGGATGCTTCTGCAACAGTCAGGCAGTAATTAGCTTTAATCACTGCAGATGTGGTCAGCATTCAAACCTGAAATATGTCCATGAAAAACACTTTACCAGGACCTGTTTCTGCTACTACCTTCCAGAGATCCTTCCAATCCCTTAGCCAAGTTGTTTGATAAATTGTAGACTCTTTCCAGGGAGCTGACATCCTTACGTGAACATGGCATCTCACTTGCTATTATTTTACACATGATGCACTGGAAAGTATTTCTTGCCTCTGTTTAGGCAAATTCATATCTATACTACACTTAGTCAATTCATTACTTACCCCATTATCACCCAAGATATCAAGCTGCTTTATGAGATCAGGGATGTTCACATCCTGCAAAATCAAGGAGATGCATTCAAGTCAAAGGCACAAAGGTGGCCTACCATTCTATCAGTGCCTGAACACTAAGTTAGAGGAAGACATTGTAGGGCTGTACCTTCTTGGGATGTTTTCAATCAGACACACCTGGCTGTAAGTTCCTACTCTGCTTCTTACAAGCTGCGTGCACTTGGGCATACTACCTAACAGTTCATTCTCAATTTTGCCAGTTGCAAAATGGA